CTTCATTGTTGACGCTGGCGGAATATTGAAGGCGGATTAATAGATATAACAATGTAGAACAAAAAAAAAAAAAAAAAATACCATAGAGAATGTTGCAGACGCAGGAAAACAATCAAAAGAAAAACACTGAAAAATAAAAGAGTTAAAAATCACGCGCACACACACACTCTAATCTATGAATGCCAATGGAGGCAATGATGAGTTGGACTGAGTTCACAGAGACAACTGCTGAACAGACAGTCTTCAAAAACGATTCGTTAAACGTAGAGACAGACTATGAAATTACATAGATGTATAGCCAACACAATGGCAGCCAACAATCAAAAGCAGAATATAATACAAAGCAGTGGAAAATTAAAGTCAAAGAATGAAAAAATGTGGATGAAACTAAAAAATCTAGCAGAAATTAATAAATGAAAAGAGAAAAATACTAAGTAATCTCCGTCAAAATTAAAGCAAGAAAACTATAATAAATAAAAAATTCTATCAAAGCTTAAAGATTACTATGTACTCTACGAGACCGTAAGAGCAGCAAGATACATTGCTAAATCTGAGCTACTGTACGCTGTCCGTCGCGACGACGTTAAAGGGCCATTATGGGTGGGGCAGAAAATGCGCGCAAGTGCTCGTTAATTGGTCAATGACTGTGAAGTCGAAGTTGAAGAGTTAAGGCGGAGGAGACGTTTTGTGGGGATTGCCATGGTGGCAGCATAAATTTAATTAGACTGCGCTGCTGCGGCGGAATAAAAGCACAAAAAAACAAAAATGAAAGAAAAATTAAGAAGCTGCTGAACATACATATGTATCTATGATTTATCTCAGTGCTCTTGATGTTATGTAGGAAACTGAAAATATAGTTACTACTAGTATTCGCTCAGCGGTTGAAATTCAACCACTAAAACTGAGGAGAGTTGAGGTGAGTTAAGGTTATTTGGGTTAAGGTGAGCTGAATTGAAGCGAAATGAGTTTAGGTGAGGTGAGATTTGATAAGTTAAGGTGAGTTTATCTGAGATGAGGTGATTTGAAATGAGCTGTGATGAGTTGAGGTGAATTGCGTTGAACAACATAACATAACATAATATCGCATAACATAACATAATATAAGATATGATAACATAACATAACACAACATAATATAACATAACATAATATAACATAACGTAACATAATATAACGTAACATAACATAACATAACATAACGTAACATAACATAACATAAAATAACGTAACATAACATAACGTAACATAACATATCGAAGCATTACCTAATAAAATGCAACTTCTCAAAAAGGAGAAGATGGATTTTCTCCAAAGTCTCTGAAAATGTTACTAGTTCACACAATTCTTAAATTATTAAATTTTTAATGTTTATTGTTAATTAGTTTTAAGTTTATGAAGGACTTTCTTTAGTAAAATTTTGTCGAAAAGTGTCATTTGTCCACAAATTGGCAGCCAACTTTGGCTTTGTATGAAATACGACAAAATGTGATCAAAATTTCTACTAAATTAACGACACTTTTCACTTTTTTCAATATCTCGGAAACTAAAGGAGATATCCAATCATGGAGGGCGTCCTTTATAAGATATTGATTAGTTTAATATGACTGTACAACCAATTAGATTTTTACCAAATTATCGAAAAAATTTAAGTAAATATATCGGAAAATAAAGGAGATATCTAAAAATTGATAACACCAATCGAAAGACATTAATTCAAAATATGTAACTGCATGTAGAACTAAAAATGGTCAAAATTGCGCTTACGACAATCTTTTACCCGGGCGACGATATGTAAGTATAAGGAATATAGAGGTTGATACCCGTCTCCAATGCGAACAAGGCAATATGTAGATATAGCGTAGAATTGTTATTTTATTTGTTAACTACAAGCATGAGTCGATGGTAAAAGTAAAGTATGTAGTGTGTTTGTTCTTTATCCATAAAAAAAAATGGACGCGACCACTCCGATTATTACGAAAATGGTAATCGGTACGAAAAAAAGATATATTTTTTGAAATAACCCCATATAAAAATTGGCTTAACCACTCCGCTTTTCTCAGCATCAAGATCCGGCTCTATGGTAACTGGTACAAAATACCCGGGTCTTAAAAATTGGTAACCCGTAAAGAAAAACCGATTTAATTTTTTAAATCACCGTGAAGTGAGTAAAGTGTCAACAAATCACGATCACTTGAATTTGTTTACGGGCAGGAGTCTATTTGGAAGAGCTTGGTATTGGCTCAGTCCCTACGAGTGACTGTGTCAATGGCCATCTCTCTTGTCTGATTTCTCTTCCGGCCTTAGGAACATAGAAGCCAACGAGCGAGCGGACGAGTTGGTCAAGGCGGGAACTTGTTCGGATGAATCTGTGGCGGTGATACTGGGATACTCTCTCCGACAAGTGAAAACAGTAATCCCATTGCTCTAACTGAAACAAGCAAGGGTGAGGTGGTCAGAGGTCTGCACTTGTAAGATATAACATGGACAGGAAAATTATGTGCTAGCTGCACCAATTTTGAAGCACTGCAATCAATCAACTAATCAACGCTTTATCAGTGGTAGTTGCTAGAAGTGCCACTCATTATTGGATGTCATCATTAAGCATTTCTCTCTACTGAATTATTTTTAAGCAGTAGCGGGATGACTTTCAAAAGTATGCATGCAAATAAATATTCGTTGAGTCATTTTGTATGAGCTTGCAATTTGTATTTTTTTTTTGCTTTACCATTGCGCTTATAGAATTGAGGAATTTTATGTAAGTATTTTTTTTTTTGCTAAAGTGCTTCCGCGGAATTCATTGTTCTTTGTTGAGGGCTATGCTTCTGCTATATTTTGTTTCGATTTTATTTTCGCTGACATTGTTTGCATTTTAATGTGCTGAGTTGATCGATCGATTGATCGATTGATCGTCTGTAACTCGCAATGTATTCGATCACTTTGTGACACTAATAGACTGTCTCAGGGACATTGATGACTTTATTTGCAAAAACAAAAATTATGCATTTTTATTGCAAAGAAATTCTTATATGCGTATTTGATGTACATATATACATATGCTAATGTATGGACACAATAATTTATATTCCCAAAGGCACATATGTACATATAGTACGTACATATGTACGTATATTAGGATTGTCCAGACCCCCAAAACTGAAGAATATCGAAAATAAAGTGACCTGTATTTTCTTATTTTGAAATAGGTTAACATTTAAGCCGCCAGGGATTTCAAATTATCCATATATTTAAAATTGGGAAAATATATTTTTTACTAGAATTGGTATAAAATTATAAAAAATCGAAATTTTTTTATTTACAAAAATGCTTGATTTTATGTGTTTTTGTAACCACTTCACGCACGTTTTGAAAAAAATGGTCAATAAAATTTTAGTGCTGCTTCCTTCTTTCAGTGTTGCCAGAAATATTTCGTGAAAAATCTGCCAAGTGAAGACTAAATCTTAAAAAGCGCAAAAAATTAAAAAAAAAAACATTTTTTGAAGATTTTAATTTAACAAACTTTGCATAGGCATTTTTTAAGGTCGTCAAATATAATAAACAAAAATTAAAAAATTTCTGAATTTATCCCAAAAAGGTACGATTTAACTATATTTATTTAATCTAGTTTTTAATACCGTGTGGTAATTTCATGAAATCAAAATGGCGAATGAAAATGTCGAACAAAAATATGAAATAAAAAAATAAAAATTTTAATTGACATTGTATTCTGCAAAAAATTTGCAATAAAATTGTACGTTTTTGATTAGATGCATAGGGTCATATTCATTAGGGTGGGTAATATTTTAATTTTTTTGTTTTTTTTTTTTTTTTTTGACTATGCGCGCCTAACATAGGAGGACTCTACTTGTAACTCTAAGCAAATTTGCCGAAGAAACCATGGGTCTAAAATCAATTTGGAATTTGCCAAATTGCAAAATTAGATTTCGAAGAAAATGTGAAAATTTTCACTGTAGCCGCCCCTGGTGGAAGTTTTAAGAAAAATATAAGTGCAGAAATGAATTCCTCATACCAAAAAAAAACCGTATAGCATGTTTCCGAGAGGACAGCAAAATGCTAAGAAACCTATTTTTGCAATTTGGCAAACTCCAAATTGATTTTAGATCTATAGTTTCTTCGGCAAATTATCTTAGAATTACACGTAGAATACTTATGCGATAAACGCGCATAGTCGCAAAAAATTTACATAAAAACCGGCCCGCCCTAATATTCATAGTCGGAATAAAGTCTACACTAAAGTTAGCTATAGCTTTTTGACAGAATTTTCGATGAATATCTGTCAAAAAACTTGCAACTAGTTTAAGTGTCGACTTATTTTCGACGATGAATATGAATCATAGTTTTTGAGAAAATAATTCATAAATATTAGAAATGTTTGTATTTCATCGGCGGGGCACAAACTACGAAAACTGAAATGTATGAAAATTTCGCCAAACAAAAAACCCTTACATAAACCGCATAAAATTTGGAGTAAAAAGTCTACTCATCAATTTTTCGATTAGACGCATGGAGTTGGAGGAAAATTTTCCCAAAAAGAATACCCCATTTGGAGGTTTGATCCCTGATCCGAGCAACACCTCAATGAGAAGAAGTGTATTTCTGCCAAGAAAAAGTTGCTCATAAAATCCATTTGCAATTTGTGTTATAATATCAGGATGCACACCACTAACAGGAGCAGAAGTTTGGTCAAAGACAAAAAGCTCGGCAAACAGAAAAAGTGTAAGCGCAAAAATTTTTTTGTCATTATTTTGTTTCATTTTAAGTAATCTTTTGTGAAAAGAATACTGCTCGCAGTGATGATTTCCATCTTGTTACCAATTTTTGTTTTATTGAAATGAATTCCATTTGCTGTTGAAACCACATACAAATTCTCCAAGTGCTGGCAGAAAGTAGTCTTGACAGAGGAGATTTTTTTTATATGGAATTTTCGTTACATTTTTATACCTTCAGTTTAATAAATCTTACTTTTGGAGAAATATCTGCACTTATGGCAACACATCGGCCATGGTTGTTTTTACGGCAGGTCACCTTGGTCTTGAAAACTTCGGAAAGTTGCAACTCTCTGATAAAAATTTTCGGGCATTTTCTCTGTCGGCCAGCATTTCAAGCTCTTCGCACTCACGTATGTATTTCAGCCTCACTTTTCATACTGTGGCAAATACGTCTCGAATTAGAATTAAGCATCATAAATACTTTTATCAAATTGATATCGACAATTCATCAACAAAATTAATAAAACAATAATATTTTACGGCTTTAATTTAAAATCTGTCATTGAGTTCAATAATGAATAGAGCCATAAAAATATCGCAGTATCATTTTAAAATTTTCTCACTTATTTACTTCGCTAGCCGAAGAGTTTTTTTTATGCTATTCACATTTCACACAAAAGACTACCAATTTGCTAACCAAAAAAGGCATAAAATTGGAATCATTATTAGCTAGACTTCTTAACTGCTCAACACGTTTTTTATTAACAAAGCAATTTTGTAGACTTTTTTAAGCTGTGAACTTAAGCTGTAAACCTAAATATATATGCATGCACATTAGGGTAGTCCAAAAATGCACGCAAAAAAGTAAACCCGGAATTTTAATTCCCATATAGAAATACATGGAAAACTTTGAGCACTTTAAGCGACCTCTAAATATTTTTTATTTCAAAAATAAAAAATAGGGGTATAGTTTTTTTCGATATAGAATAATCCTAGCGGGTGAGAGCGTTAAAGTTCCGACTTTGCTTATTTTGGACCTCCCTAATGTAAATACGGTAATTACTTGAAATTCTTTGAAATAAACAAAAATAATTACAATAATTGCTATGCTCACAGTAATAGTACGAGTATTTATGTATGTATCATTCTTAACTATGGAAAAAGACGATATTAACGTGTATGTAATTAGTCTATATGTGTATGCAATATGCACACACATAAATATGTATGTATGTATGTATGCACGAGTACGTAATTACTTATAGGAATTGTACTTATTTTTGTATTTGCTGATATATTCGCATGGCCCACATAATTGACCCGATAATAGCGACACTAGGAATCGCCTCATGCAATCACAGCAAAAGTCAAAGAAATAGAATAACAAGCATAGCATTTAAATACCCAGCAGGAAAAGCGGAGTTGCGAGAAAATCATTTTAAGTCGTATTTATGGGGTGATGCAGATTTTTGACAGCCACTATATTTGACATACATATTTATTAATATCTTTTTTTTTTAATTTTTTCAGACAATTGGTGTAAAAGATATTCAAACGTTCATGCCGATTTTTCCAAAAAAAAAAAATTATCTTGAACGAAGTTTTCCTGATATGAAAACAATTTTTTTAAGGTCTTAATTAGACGACATAGACTTGGACAATTTGTGGTTTCAACAGCACAGTGCCACTTGCAACACCGCTCTTGAAACAATGCCCCTATTGTGAACATCTGCGAACTTATTGAATCACCATATACTTAAGCCGAATAATTAATGCTTTTTTAGCTTTTTTATTAAAAATGTTTAAGTGTTGAAATTGGAATCTGATTGCTGTTAGATTTGCCTTAAGCTTTATCCTTTCTCTACAAGGTACTTTCCACTGTCAACTTCAGTCATATGCTCCCACCACCTCAGTCTCCGTCTTCTGTCCAACTGAGTTCAACAACCATTTCCCTCGAGTCATTGTCGACGAGCAATTTGTGCTAATTTCTACCAACAAGTGCCAATGCGGCAATTCGCTAACCCACCGACTGACTAGAAATGGTCAAGGGTGTGTTGTGGCATGGCGTGTTGCTGATATTATTCGACTTGGGAAGTTAAAATTACAAGCAAAAAATCATGAAAATTAAAAAAAAAAAAATACAAAAAGCAAAAAAAAAATGGAAACAGAATGTGGAAAGAAATGTAGAAAAGTACTATTTTTTAACAATCTGCACAAATTCAAAAGCAAACCTGATGTAGCTGTATATGCGCGGATATATGCTTAAAACACATGCAAATACTTATACACGATATGTATGGATGTATGTATGTATGTAATTATATTTACTCATATGCTTGTAGGTATTTAAATGTTTTTACTTACATGCATTAATTTATAGCTTTGACTAAATCGACGACGACCTCTCTTCCGAATTATATTTGCTTTTTTTTTGTGTGCTATTCTGGCCGTTTTGCTGGTTGCTTAGCTGGACAAGTGGATGTACGAATGAGCGCACAAAATTTGTTATTTACGTGGTATGGTTAGTTAAATTTATGTGTAGACATCTGTAAATATAGGAAAAATTGTTTAAGGGTATTTTAAAAATATTCTCTTTATTTTGTGAAATCCGTCATCAATGTAGAGTTTAATTAAAATGATAAATAAAATGATAAAAATTATAAATAGAACTTCACTTATTTTTATGATGAATAAAATTCAACCGTTTGAATCTCTTCTTCATACTTTTGGCACATTAATTCTTCAGAAACAAATTCTACAACGACAAACTTATTCCAAAATCTAGTTACAACAACAGCTCGTTGGGTAAAGCGCTATCCTGGGCATGGCATACATTTCCTCAAATTTACATTTATTCATATTTGTACGGTGGTTTAGTTAAAACCTTTTAATAAATTTGTAAGTATGTACGCGTAGGCATTTTACTCAATGGGTGTAATAATTAAATTATAATGAATACACATCCGCTCTAGGAGACGCTTCAGTGATGACCCTTAATTTTGCAAAATAACTCCTCTAAATTATTTTCAAGTTTGCACACATATCAAAATTGTTCGCCACCCTTATTTAAATTGCAATTGAATTAGTATTCACACATAATTGAATTAAGGAAGCCAAAAATATATGTACATGTACATGCAAACATGGACTACAATGTTTGTCATTGCTCATACATATTTACCTTTTAAAATCATTGCACAATTTTTGACATAGAATACGTCTTACGTTTCGGTATGGATGTCATGCTCAAATGTTGTATGTAGTTGTAATTTTTAGAGCTTCACAAAAACGCCTATTGCACGAGAACTAATGAAGCGATTTCAAATAAGAAAGCGGCGTTTTAAAGATACAACTCTAAACTTATCGACAGATTTATTTTTGTAAGTTATAAGTTCTGTTTGTTTCGTAGAAACATCGGTAAATATTGGCTTATTTTGGGGTCAATTTTGAACTTTTAAAATGCTCTAGCAACTTAGGTTCTCGGAATATAAGTTCGGAATATTAGTTCTCCAGAGCTCTCTAGTATAAACTTTATGTACGCAGGTATGAAAAAACTCGTAACTTCTACAGTTTTGGTGTTTCCATTCTCAAATTTTTACAGCTTACTCCATAAAGTTTGGAACTACACAGGTTGAAAAAAATAAAAATCAAACATGACAAAGTTAATAAAAAATAAAAATAAAAAATAAATTCGATTTTTTAATCCAATTTTTTTTTTTTTTTTAATCTATGTCACACTCTCATGGAAAGCCAAGGTAATTACGCACATGCTGATACCTTAACTGATTTTCTCCGACAAATAGTTTATTAACTGCAAACAATTAAAAAAAGATACTTCTCAGTGAGTTCGAAATTTCGGGAATTTTTTTTCGAGATTTTCGAATATCGTGACGAAATAAAAAAATAGTTGTCTTCTTTTTTTCGATAAAGAATGTAAAAAAATATATTTCACCACAAAAAAAAATATTGAGGTGTAAATATTTTATGGAATGACCCACATGTATCTTTTTTTTGTGGTGAAATGATTTGGGAAAATGGATTTTAAAGCTGAAACGCAGTACAAAGTATACATCATACCTTTGTGGAAAATTTAAAAAAATCCTTATGCCTAATTTCCACTAGACATTAGTATTACAAACAATTGGAGGTATTTAAAAACTGCCAAGCGGAAATGAATTTAATGACAATTTTTTTTTAACGTAATGACACAAATATTTTTTAATGTCCAACTTTGTCATTGGAATTTTTGCCATTTAATGCCAAGTGGAAATACAGCACTACCCGACAAAAAACGCTAATACATTTAGAAATGTGCGTAAAATGAAACGTCACTTTGCGCCATTGTTTCCGTATTCAAAAATTTTTACCGTTATTGAATTTTTAGGGAATTTTTGTGTTTTGTGTGATATTCTAATGGAATATATTTTATACCTTAAAATAAATGATAGTTAAAATTTTCAAAAGTGAACTCATTTTAAATGCGATTATACATGATTGTAAATATTAGTTATACATATGTACCAACATACATATAGTCAAAAGTAAATACATACAAACAGCTAAAAAAATCTAAAAAAAAAATCTAAAAAAGTAAATAATCGCGAGTGTATGTATGCATGTTAAAGGTGTCCCATAATTTACGCAAGATAAAAGCTCTGATCCAATACTTTTCGTGTAAAATTTTGTACAAATGTCAAACAGCAAAATTATTCTCTGAAGTGGAACAAAACCAGCATTTTTTCACTTCATTCTCTACACAACTCTCCAAAAATCGCTCCCATTTACAGGATTTTGGAGTACGGGACCATTTTTCCCTCTAACTTCCTGCAGGTGTGTGTAAAAACCTGTAAGTTCATGGATACTGCAACAGAACTAAAATTATAGAATACACGTTTTTTTTTAACCGAATTCGAAAAAGGAGTAGGCTATTAGTCGGAATATTTTTTATGTATTTTACTGGATCACTTTGGACCACGTTAACCGTTTTCGATAATTCTTATTCTTTCTCGAAAAGGTCGCACCTCGTGGGTGGTCCCATGCTAATTGGGTTTAGTGCCGATAATTGGATCATGGTGAAACGTAGTCAGTTGTATTTTTGTATAAAATCTGCTTGTTCCAAACCTAATTTTTTGTTTTTTTTGAACATAAAGAACATACATAGGATAGGGTTGTGTTTGGAGTATCACATCGGGCAAATAATTGCCACGGATTTGCTGGAAAGTACGCGTAATTTCGTCAAGATTTTCTTGATTTTCAAAAAAGTAGATATGGTCCAATAACTGCTCAACCAACTTTGGAAATAAACCGATACATTTAGACCTTCTGAGCTCAGAATGTGGCATGTAGGAGGATTAACGAAGCCATCAATGTGAAAATGGGTTTCACCCTTTAGGATGATTTTGCTCGAAAAATCAGCTTGCACTTGTTGTGCGTACATATATGCCAGCAAAGCTGTGGTGATCATTTGCCCGATGTATTATTTCAGAAGTAAGTAACTCTATTATATGGTAAGTATATGTACTTTACGTTTAAGTAAAAGAAATGCAATTTGAAAAAGAACATAATAGGCATAAATTCTTGCACACCCTTTATATTTTTGCACAAGTACACAGTCATTTATTTATGTACTCCCAGAAAAATAGTGGAAAGTAGAAGCAAAAAAATAAAGTAGATGAAAATTAACAAATCCAAATAGCAGCACTGACTAACAACAACAGCAACGTCAACGTCAACGTCAACAAAGCAGCTAAAGTCACAACAACATAAGCACTACTTGCTAAGCAATGGAGCCACAACAAATAGCGCGAAGCAAATATTCAAAACGAGGTCAACTGAGGTCAAACTGATTTTATGTACATACTTACATTCATACACATTTACATTTATGTATGCAACCATACATATGTACATACATACTTACGTTCATATGTACTTACATTTGCACAACGCGCGCGCAACAGCCAAGTTCGAAACACCAACAAACTAACAACAACAAAAAAAAACGAATAGCAATGAAAGCGAGCGAAAAAAATTATGCCAAGCGCGCTTTAGCAAATAGTACGAATGTGGAGAGAAAAATAAAAGTAAAAAAACTAATAAAATGAAATTTATAGAATGAATTAGTAAATTGAAAATAGAAATGCAAAGGGAAAATACCAACTTTACAACCTATTAAATATTTATATCAATAGCTCTGCATCCAAAGCAGTTGCACACATACCCAGAAATGTATGTTCATATTAGGGTGATTGACTCGGTTTTTCCAACCGGTTTCAAGTCGTGTTTTTTTTTTTTAATCTATATTTTTCAGAAACCGAGTAAACCGAATTTTGGCAATCGAAAAACCGCGGTTTTCACCTAGCTTATTTATATAACTACCAAAATCTAAAAATTTAAATTTTATATTTTATTGAAAATGGAACTAGAACATTTTTATTAATTTTAAATCTGAATACTGAAAAAAAATTTCAACATCTACATGCTCCAGTTTTTCCCCACAAATTGCTATTATTTTAGTGATCAAATCTTGTTGAGATTGGTGAACAACATTAAGTATGAACTTTTCACAACTTTTTTCTATTTTAATCCAAAATTATTCGAACTTCTTTGGCATTTTTTATTTCTAAGTTAGAGCTATACCTAACAGTAAGTGTTAAGAAAATATGTTAAATAAAACCGGTGTATGCAGTTTTTTCTTAATTTGAAAATCTGAAATCGGTTTTTTTTTCAAATTGCCATTTTTCGAATAACTCGAAAACCGGTTTTCGAAAAATGGCTAATAGATGTTCAATTATACATATGTATGTACATTAGGGCGGGTCAATATGTATGGGAGATTTTTTCAGTGATGCGCGTGTAGCACAGAACGATTCTATGTGAAATTCTAAGCAAATTTGCAAGAAGAAACTATGGGCCTAAAATCAATTTGGAGCTTGCTAAATTGAGGAAGCAATAGCTCAAAGCGATTTGAAGTAGTTAGTCAACAAAGGATGAGATATTCAGTTGAACTTTCTTGTACTGACCTGGAAGAAATGCCCAAAGAACCAAGCATGAAATATAGTAAGAGAGATATGGAAATATCAGGCATCGTAGATACATTTATTTTGAAACTTCAAGCACTGATTAGCTATGATGACTGGTCGAATCATTGGTAGATATTCAAATTAGTTTAGACTCTGAACGCAAACTTGTTCAGTTCCGCCTTAAAGGTAGAGAAATCCCAGCTGAAGATAATATTTCTTAGGTCCAACGATGATAATGTCATCTGCATACGCTTTTACTCTACGATTTTCAATATCAGACTGAAGACGAGTTGCAAGGATGTAAATTCTACTTTAGTCTCGAATGGCTCTATAAAATCCTTCCCAACTACAGCCTTTAAGTTTTGCCGGATCTCTAAATTTAGGTGCGCCGTCGTAGAGGTAGCTTCTCTCACTGCTATCAAAAGCAGCTTTAAGTACAGCCTGATTTAGTAGTGGACTTGTCATAGCAGAATCTACAGTGATACGACCCGGACGGATTGTTAGTATGGACTTTATCTTTCACACAGAC